CAAAGCCAGTCATATGTGCACAATGTTATAGAAACCACCATCCTATTCCAAAGTGGTAGATGAAAGAACACACACACACAAACACAAAGATACAAAAATGTCATAAAGCCCCCCACCAAAAAAAAGAAAGAACACCTTTACCCGCAAATGACCAGGGATAACAGCCCAAGGTCATTTAGAAGAACAAGAACAGTTCTTCCCCCCCCCCCGCCCCCCCCAGCAAACATATGTCCAAGCTCCTGTTTTCCAAGACCACATTCTTTAGGCGTTAACCTCAAGCTGCCTAACAGGGTGTTTGAGAAATGCTCTCCATTGCCCTAGCCTTTGGCTGCAAGTGTTGTACCTTCTCTGCTGGGTCTTAGAATGATAATTGAGGAGTATGAAAAGAAATAAAGATAAATTAAAATTTAATTTTCAGAGAAAAAATGTTTTCATTCTAGATTACCTGAAAATATACTGTCTAGTTTAGGCAAATACACAAATGAAAGGTAAAACAAGTGTGCAGATGGCACAGCACCCTTCTATTTGGCATGCCTCAGTTGGTTCACAGGTATAGATTCTGATTTGTAGAAATGTTTTTACCTCATGCAACAAATATATCCAGATGGTGCAGGACACTGTCCCTGGCTGGCAACCCATTACCCATCAGCATCAGAAGCCAAGCTGGCCAAAATAGATGACCACCCTGGGTAGGAAGAGCACTGCCAAGTCTGAAGGAGACATAGTGACCAGGGTAAAGTGCCCAAGCTCTCTGTCTAGAGAGGTAATCAGTATGAAGGTCCTAACTATTCCCTCCAACCCAATGGTGGAAGCAGGGAACAAGAGAAAGAGTTTACCCTGACAGGACACTCCTACTCCACTTTTCTTGGGAAATCTAGAAATTTGGCTTTCCTGAATCTGCAGCTACTTACAGACTCTGCTGTCTCCCTGACCACAGAGGTGAAGTACATAAGCAATTAACATGTTTTACACATGGTATACACATAATAAAAAATAGCAATTAAAAATCATTACTATTATTTCCCCAGACATGCATTCCTCTCTTCACAGATTCTACCTCCTCCCAAGTCCCTGGTAAAAAGTCAAATGTAAATGCTTCTCTAGCACATTCAGGGTCTTGATAGCCAAGTTCCAAACTGAAACTCCCAGCAAGCAATTCTTCCAGGACTGCAGAACTCAGCACCAAGTACACTGTGGAGACTCTCATTACAAAAACTATTAGAAGCCCTGTTAAGAACTCCACTGTGGTGGGAGGCAGTCCCCTGAACTCTTGCTTTACTTCTCACCTTGCCACCAGAGTGAGATGGGACAGAACTGCAGGAAGTCTGATGTTTAAGTCCTGGCTCTTTTTCAACTCAGAGCAATTCTGAGCATACATACCTAAACTATACATAGATAAACATCCTTATATATAACTCTTTGTGGATTTGTGCAAATTCTCTGAAAGATCTAGCCAGGATGGAACTGGTTTGAAGTAAGGTATGTACACACTTAATGCATCAGTTATCTATTGCTGTATAACAAATTACTTCAAATTAGAAACTTAAAAAGAGTTATCATATAACCCAGCAATTCTACTCCAAGAAAAATGAAAATATATGTCCATACAAAACCTTGTCCACAAATGTTCACAGCAGCAGTATTCACAATAGTCAAAAAGTGGAACCAACTCAAATATCCATCACTTCATACATGAATAAAATGTGCTATATTCATACAAGGGAGTATTACTCAGCCACAAAAAGGAATGAAGTACTGATACATACTACAACATGGATGAACCTTGAAAATATTACGCTAAGTGAAAAGAGCCATACACAAAAGTCTACATATTATGTAACAGTCCCATTCACATATTATATGAAATGTCTAGAATAGGTAAATCTATATAGACAAAGTGATTGCCTAGGACTGTGAGAGTTAGGGACAGGTGTAGAGTGACTGCTAAAGGATACAAAGTTTCTTGTACCCACAGGGTAATCAAAATGTTTCAAGATTAATTTTGGTGATGGTTGCACAATTCTTTGATACCTCAAAGTCACTGAACTGTATGTTTTAAATGGGTAAAATCTATAATATATGAATTATATCTCAAGAAAGCTGTTTTTAACAAAATAATAAACATCTATAATCTCACAGTTCCTTTGGGTTAAGAATTTGGAGCTGTGTAATTCTGACTCAGGATCTCTCATGAGGCTGTGGTCACACTGTTGATCAGTGCAGATGCATCTTAAGGCTTGAATGAAGCTAGAAGATCCAGTTCCAAGCTAGTTCACTTACACAGTTGATAATGTTGTGCTCTCTACTAGTGAGAGGCCTCCATTCTTCTCCACATAGGCCTCTCCAGAGGGCTGGCTTGAGTGTCCTAAAGGCAAATGCTTCAATGTCTCTTATGAGGTCATAAGTCTCAGAAGTCACACATTTCTCATACATCCTATCAGTTATGTGTTGGGAACCACCATGCCTGGTTTCAGAAGCTGTAACCCCTGCCAAGGCTAAGGCTGAGGGAGCGACCTTGGACCATAAGCCACCAAGGAGACAAAAGCTTATCTCCCTGGCAGGAGGACTGCTTCTACCCCTTTTACTTCATTTGTAACTGGCTCCCAATGCTTGGTTGGTTAGCCAACGATGGGTAAGATTCCCCAAAGCAGGGAATGACCTAAAACAGGCACGGTCATGTGGGAGTCCCCCAAGGAAGGACTTTGGGGGCTACAGCAAAAGGGGGTGATGGGCCCTCACCCCTCGGCTTTGACAAAGCCTGAGTCCTCACTGTCTGCGAGAAATCTCCTAATCTCCTGGCTGCCTTACTTCCCTTGCTCCACCTAAGCCTGAAACAGTGACAGAGGGCGGTACAGCCCTGTGCTGGAAAGGGCAGGTTCCCTGGGCGATTAGGCCTAAGAAAGAATATGTAAAATCCTGTGAAACCTGCTTTGTTTAGAATGCTCTCAATTAAATGATAAGGGTCCAAACAAGAAGTTAGTTTGTTCCTCAAAGTTTTACAGCTCTTTAGCTATCTGACCCTGACTCAAAACAGGCCCTCAGAGTTCTTTGTTATCTATTGTTTGATCCTTACTGCCTGGCAATGATTAATGAGCCTTACCTGAATTCTTGTGTAAACAAACCCAATAAAAGCCATTGAGGAGAAGGCTCTTGGCCCTTCTCCTGTGAGAGATCAGCCACCTTTCCTCCCTAAGCAGATCATGCCTTGGTAGACTTATTCTCATCCGTGGCGGATGGGGGGCTCTGTGGACAAAGTTCCCCCACAGTTATACACCCCAGTAGTGGAAGGGAACTGCAGAGGGCTTGAATACTAAGAGTCAGAGGTCATTGGGAGCCACCTTGGAAGCCATCTATGGACACTTGAAAAGGAAGACAAGATAATAACCACTAACAATTCTGTGACACATACTATGTGCCAGCCACTGTTTTTAAGTTCACAATAGACTTGGAAATTAAGTACTATTATCTCCATTTCACAGATGAAAAAACTAGGACACAGAGAAATTAAATGGCTCATCATGGTCATGCACTTAGAAACAGCAGAGCTGGGATTCAAACTCAGGCAGTATAGTGCCAAAGCACACTCTTAAAAACTATGCAACATGGCATCACAAATATTACTTATTTCAATTAAGTGTTCACCTAGAATGGATGAACCAGTTGAAACGCCCATGAGTTTTCATTCCCCATGCTAGTTCAGTCTCATTAATTTTTGCCAAACCAATAAAATATAAGCTCATTAATGTTTTGTTTGCAGTTCTCTGGTTACTGATTAGGTAACATATTTATTAGCCATTCTGTTTATCCCTTTAGATTTTACCTATTCATATGCTTTATGCATTTTTATTTTGTTTTTTTCTTCCCAATTTGCAGTAGTTATTTCTATATTCAATCCCTATATAATGCAATCTCCTATCAGTTTTAGACACTACAAATATTTTCTTCTAAATTACTCCCATTTGTAGCCTGAACTACAGGATGCTTTGTTGACTAGAAATCTTTCATTATGTAGTCAAAGCTATCAAATCTTATGGATTGTGCTTTGGGGAATCTTCACAAATCTATCCTTAACACAAGGTCACAAAGACAGTCTCTGTTTTTTCTTATTGGCTTTAGCATTTTACCTTTCGTTTAGGTCTTTAATCACTGTAGAATCTGTCTTTGTTTTATATGGTTTGAGGTAGGGAATTGACTTTGTCCATACAATAAGCCAATTTTCTGAGCACCATTACCCATCACTTCCTCACTAATTTGTGATACTACTTTTATCAGATCTCCAAATAGCCATGTAGGCTCCTAAGTCCAGTTTAGCACTAACTTTTATTTTCTAAGTGAAAAGTTCTACCACTGTGAACGTTCATACTGACACAGGGCTCCCCCCACCCCGCATCTGTGGAGAATGCATTCGAGCATCCCCAGTGGACACCTGATATCATAGTTAGTACTAATTCTGTACCTACCATGTTTTTTCCTATACATACATACATACATATATATACCTCTCACTTAAAAAAAGCACTTTACAACTTCTCTTTAGCATGTCTAAACTGCCAGCATCACTACTCCTATGCTTTGGGGCCATTAGTAAAATAAGGGTTAGTTGAACATAATCACTGCAATACCACAACAGTTGATCTGATAACCAAGATGATATGAGGTGACTCACAGGTGGGTAACATATACAGCACAGAGACGCTGGACAAAGGGATGATTCACATCATGGGCAAGATGGAGTGGGACAGAGCAAGATTTCATTATGCTACTCAAAATGATGGGCAATTTAAAAGTTATTATTTCTGGAATTTTCCATGTAGTATTTTCAAACGTGTTGACTACATGTAACTGAAACCACAAAAAAATGAAATCCCAGATAAGAGGGGAGACTACTTTCTACATTAATGAAAAATCCAAATCAAACCATTATCCTCCATGATCCCTGGGGGTTCCACATTATTAGCTTATATTCTTCCCAAAAACAGAAAACCCAGTTAAGAAAGTGATTTTAAAAAAATAAATGTATGTTTATTAAAAAACCCAACCAAGAACAAACCCTGGGACACTGAGAAATCAATGTTTCTTCTGAAAGCCAGCAACAACAGCCAGTGTCGGCACACTTGAGACATTACAGATGCCTCAGTCCAAACATGAGGTCTCAAATATTCTTCCTCTCAAATGCTAGTGGTCAAAACTAGCATTCAAAGAGTTGCTGGTCTGTGTGGGCCTGATTATTAGCATAGACAACTGTTACAGCTGGATATCTGGCTGTCCTGTGTCTACTACCACAACCCAAACACCCCCACAGCCCCAGAAAAGTTACATGTCCTCAACACTCCACTTGTAGGCAAGTTCCTCCACCGCCTTCTTGCTGGCAAGCCTGGCAAAGCGCTTCTGTTCAAATCCATTGGATCTGTAATCAAAAAACACTAATCAGCCAGAATTCTGTACTGGACATTTATTTTTTTTAAAAAAAGAAAGGGGTTTACAACCTAATGAATTAGAAAATAGGCATGTGAAAATATTTAAGGCATATGCAATAGAATAAGAATGGCAAAATATATAATTCAGCCTTTTATTAGTACTTATTTAGATCATTTTCTCCTACTTGACAACTGTTTCAAACATTTACCACTCTCTAAAGGCCCAACTCACTCTCAGCTGATGTCTACATCTTATACCTTATCCATTTATTACCTAAACATTTAGTGAATTCTTTACATACTAGGTATACACTGTATCATGAAAATGAGTATGACACAGCACCTGTCCTGATGAACTCACAGACTAGTAGAGGAGAGTAACATTTAAACAAGTAATTAAAATAAAAAACGTAAACTATGGTAGAAGTATATATTGGGTATCACAGAAACAGAATGGAGATCTTACGCAGTTTGGGAGGGAAATGGGCAAGTATAGTCAGGAAAGGCTTCTTGGAGGTAGACCCTAAGCTAAGTCTAAAAGACAGAATTAACCAGAGGGTTGGAGGTGGGGAGAGACAGAAGTGTTGGAAGGGCATTTCCAGACAGAGTAAAGCATGAGCAATAAGAGCAAAGACACAAAAATAAGAAATAGCCTTCTATATGCAGGGATTCAAAAGCAAACTGGTATGGCTGGAGTCTAAAGTATGACAAAGGGAGTAGCACAAGACAAAGTTAGAAAGGTAGGCAGAGGCAAAATCATAATGAGCTTTGTAGACCAAAATGAAAAGCTTAGATTTCATCCAGTAGAGAGATATTTAAAGCAGGGGTATAAACTGTACTTCAAAGAGAAAACTCTGGAAGAGACCAGAGACAGAAAAGTGACTGCCATGGTACAGACAACAGATGATGAAAGCAATGACAAAGAAGAGGGAGAGAAAGAGAGAAGACATAATAGGACTTAGTGACTGACCAGGTATATAAAAACAAAGGAGAAAGAGTTAAGTTTGACCCCCAGGTTAATAACTGTAGTGACTAGATGAATGAGACTACTACTTATCAGAATAGAATACAAAAGTAGAACTTTTAGAGTAGGGGAGACTAATGAGTTGTTTTGAATACATTGTATTTAAGGTGCCTTAAGTACATATCAACAGAGGAATATAATATGCAGCCAGATATACCAGAATGAGCTGCAAATACAGATTTGGAAATCATGTACATAATGAAGGTGAAGGATATCATGTACATAATGAAGATAAGATTTGGCCAAAGAAGGCACATAAAGTAAGAACAGCTAAGGGTTATGAATGGAGCCCTGAGAAACATTTAAGCGATGTACAGAAGAAAAGCTCTTAATGGTGGCCAAGCAGAAATAATAAGAGAAAAGAATGAGGAGTAAGGTATCATAAAAGCCAATTCAGGAGTTTCAAGGAATGGACTTCAACTCCCTTCTAATATTATGCATCTCTCTGTTGTATATAAACTTCTTAAAAGGGCCTGTATTCACTATCTGTACTTCCTCATTTCTCATTCATTCCTTAACACATTAGAACCTAGTGTCACATAGTGAAACATAGTTTCACTATGTCACAGAGCTCTCTCACTTTAAGGTCATCAGTGACTTCTCTTATTGCCAAACCCAGTGATTTCTCCCTCTCCACAAATCAGTCACCAAGTCCTGCCACCTTATCCCCTAAATACTTCTCCACCTCTTCCTCTTCTCCATTCTTAGTATCACTACAGTACAGAGCTTCATCCCTGTAGCTTTATCTACTGTAACAACCTCATCTTTCTACTTCCAAACTATGTCTTTCAAATGTTTCAAATTACTGCCATAATGACTCATTCATTTAAAATAGAGAAATGGCCCTGGCTGGTGTGGCTCAGTGGACTGAATGCCAGCCTTCGAACCAAAGGGTTGCTGGTTCGATTCCATGTCAAGGCACATGACTGGGTTGCAGGCCAGGTCCCCAGCTGGGGATGTGCGAGAGACAACAGATCAATATATCTCTCACACATCAATGTTTCTCTCCCTCTTTCTCCCTCCCTTCCCCTCTCTAAAAATAAATAAATAAAATCTGTAAAAAAAAAAATAAATAAAGTAAAATAGTGAAATACTGTTAATCCTTCAATGGCTCCCCTTTGTCTCTAATGTGATAACCAAGCTCCTCAGAAATGTTTCCAAAGCCTTCTGTGACCAGGCCCTGCTTACGTTTCCAGTCCATCTCATAAAACTCCATTTCACATTTAATGCTATAATACTATGACAGTGATATGACTATATCACTATGACATTCCATATGCTTAAACGTAATCCTCTTCCTAAACTTCCTTCCTTTCCTTATCTTGACTGGTAAACAGACATCACTAAAGACTAAGCCATATTCCCCAAGGCTAAATTTACTGTTCCTCTGTGCTCCCAAAGCACCTTGAAAATTCTCTTTTAATACTTAGCAAGTAGCACTGAATTTATTTACTCTTTGTCTTTTCCTTTAGATAGAAACTGAATTCCTGGGCTCAGGGACTGTCTCTCACTAATTGTGAGACCCTGGCACTTGTATGTAGCTACTTAAAGTTATAACACGTATGCTAAGTGTCAGTGAACTAATTGGGATAACAGGCTTCCCTATTTCCTAAGGCCTTCCCTAAGGGATGAATAAGATAAGTAATAGGATTTAGGAAAAGGGAAGCTTATTATGAATGGCACCATATCCATCCTTAGAAGCATGCATGGTATTCTGGAACACCAAGGAAACTACTGCTTCTTGCCTTGGGTAGTAAGTACTTATAGAGCATGAACACTAATATGATCATATACACAAAGGACATATGAATAATAAACAAAACCCTAAAATTTTAAAAAAACAAAGTGCAAGAAAACTCACAATAGAAAGAGATTTGGACTAGAGAATTAGGAGCCCAGGGTTCCAATTCCAGCCTTATCAGGTGAGCTGAATGATTCTAGGTCAGTTGTTAAATCATCTGGGCATCAGTTTCTCTTTTAAAGAATGGGAGTTAAGACTAATTAACCTTATGGGTTTTTTGAACTGTAACATACTACAGATCTGTTCTAGAAATATTCATTTTCAGTGGGTCAAAAACAAAACTAGAAATTATGATGAAAGAATAAATAATCAGAAAGTAAGTTTGAAAAAGGGAACTAAAAGGAAAGAATGAGGAGTAGAGAAAAATTTCTGGGAGAGATGTTAGTAAATTAGACAGCAGTAAAAAACTAAGTGAGGAAGAGTTCGAACTTTTGGGTACACAAATTTAGAAAAGAGAAAAAACAATAAACTAGGATAGCAGGAAACATCTTTAGGGTTGTGGCTACAAAAATTCTACTTCTGGCTATATGGCAAATTAGCATTTGGGAAAATCTTCCTCCTATCACACAAAGGGCCAGTATGCAATCAGCTTCAAACCAAAGTAGTAAGCTAGCCTGAAACCACAGCCACCCTAAGGATACCTATGAATATGAGGAACTAGAGCCTTGAACTTGGATGGCAACTTCAGGAACAGAAGACAATGATTTAGGCCCATAAGGTAGAATGTGCTACTTTCTAGTTACAGCAGAGGAACTTGGGCAGACTAACCTTCCCTGAGATAGTAATTATTAAATATAGGCAAAATATAAAAATATAAGTATCTGAACATATTTAAACGCATGAGAGTGACCAAAAGCAGGCAGAATCAGGATGGGAATCTAAGTGTGAAAAGAGATTTGTGAGGCTTTTTGCAGATGGTACTACCCAATCTACATAGCTCATGGAGGCAGAAAAAACTATAAGTTTATTGGCTTGAGGTGTCAGTACAAAGTGTGAAGAGCAGCTGAAAATCCTGAAAAGGGATAAAACCCAAAATCTACATATAAACTGTCCCCAAATCCTTGGCTAACAGCTAAAATGTGCTTGTGCAGAGGAAACCCCATTAGACCCAATGAAAAAGCAGCAGCTAGAAATTAAAAGAACTGAGCAGAAACTTTAGCTGCTGCCCACTGCAAAGGAGCAGAGTTTGTAGTTCAAAAATAGTCAAGTTAACTGTCTGTTAAAATAAAAATCAACACACATCAGGGGAATAAAACAGAACTGAAAGTCTCTACAATGGATCATTCATAATATCCAGAACACATTAAAGAAAAGAGAGACTTCTGAACAAGATGGTAGCATAGGTTAATGTGGTAGTTGAATCCTCCCACAACCACATCCAAATTACAGCTAAACTACAAAACAACCATCATTTAGAACCACCTAAAATCTGGCTAAATGGAAGTCCTACAAGTAGGGAATTAAAGAAGTAGCCACATTCAGACTGGTAGGAGGGGCAGAGACATAGAACAGACTGGTCTCACATCCATGCATAGTGGATAAAAATCAGGAAGAAGAGCCATGGCTGCTATGGCTCAGTTGGTTGGAGTGTCATCCTATAAACCAGAAGGTCACACGTTCAATTCCAAGTCAGAGTACATACCTAGGTCACAGAATCCATCCTCAGTTGGGGTACATATGAGAGGCAACCAATCAATGTCTCTCCTTCACATCAATGTTTCTCTCCTTTCCCTTCTCTCTCCTTCCCTTCCCCTCTCTTTAAATCAATAAGTATGTCCTTGGCTAAGAATAAAAAAAATCAGAAGGAATATCTCAACTGTGGAGATCTTCCCTGAGGAGTGAGGGTTCCCAGCTCTACACCAGGCCCCCAAGCCCATGGTTCCAGTGTTAGGAAGAGAAGTCCCCACAACTTCTGGCTGTAAAAATCAGCAGGGATTGAGGCTGAGGGAGACAGAGAGCTACGGGAGTCCCAGGCAGTTCTTCTTAAAGGTCCCATGCACAAACCTACTCAAACTCACTCCCTCTGAGCTCCAGCACTGGGGAAGAAGCTTGAAAGGCACCAGAGACATATGAGGAGAAACTGAATTGTCCAGCATCAGGGCAAGAGCTGGGAGAATAGCATTCTCCTAGACAGAAGTGATGGCAGAGGCCACTATTACTTCTCT